GCTGCTGCTGCTGCCGCCGCCCCAGCCGCTCATTCCGCTGGAACCTTCCGCGGGGTCTTCGGGCCAGGCGCACCACTGCTACGATGGGCCCGCGGCACATCGGGCAGGTGTCCCTTCCCTCTGCCCAGAGGTGGATGCACTCCAGGCAAAAGGAGTGCCTGCAGGGGTCCACACGAGCTGCGCTGGACAGCGGGCCCAGGCAGATGGGGCACTCCTCGGGCTGCTCCTGCCGCCAGCTCATGGTTCCTGCAGCTGCCGCAAGGTGCAGATGGTCGTCCTGTGGGGGAGGCTGCCCTGGTGCCGGGCGCTCAGCAGCAGCCCAGGGTCTTCAGCACCTCGATGTCTCGCGGGTCGCCGGCAGGAACTTGACGCCTCACGTGCCACCAGGAGGACAACTGCAGAGAAAAGCAGGAAGAAAATATTGAATCAGCAAGCAGACATTAGCTTTATAGGTTCAACCAAGTTGTCTAGAGTGCTGTAGCAGTAACTGTTCTGTGTATGGATTGGAAACATGGCTGTTAGAGCAGCAAATATGCTTATGATCGGTTATACTTGGCAAGACTACGCTGAGGCCAGATGAGGTACATGGATGTCTGTGGATTGGAGAACATTACCGGAGGCCCTTGATGATGGCTTGCGTACAAAAAGATTGGCTTCGCGAATGCCTCTAGCACCAGCTCCGCCTGTCTATCTCCTTCCAGCCGTGGAGACTCGAGCTCTCGCCTACCACCAGCCGGACTGGCCGCAGGCGCCCCGCGCAGGGCATTTATAGGCAGCCCCCTTCTGTGAGGCCAGAGGTGACATCAGCAGGGTCTGGGGTGTCCCTGAGGGCAGCACTGACAGAGGTCACCTGAACGTTGTGAGACTTGAGATGGCTGCTCCACGCTGACAGGTGCCAAGTGGAGAGCGGTATCAGGCTAATTAAGAAAAGCCATCTCGGAAGAGGTAGAATCCAGGACTGGGCCAAGGAGAGGGCACTGAGGTATCAAGAATAAAGTGTCACTTGAAATACCTGAGACTCCCATCAAGTCAGTGCTGCCATCAGGGACACCCCGAAACCTTTGTGATGTCCCCTCTGGCCTCACAGAAGGGGGCTGCCTATAAAAGCCCTGCGCGGGGCGCCTGCGGCCAGTCCAGCTGGTGGTAGGCGAGAGCTCGAGTCTCCACGGCTGGAAGGAGAGAGAGAGGCGGAGCTATTGCTAGAAGCATACGCGAAGCCATTGTTGTTGCACGCGAGCCATCAAGGGCCTTCGGTAATGCTCTCACACCTACAGACATCCATGTACCTCATCTGGCCTAAGCCTAGTCTGTGTTTGCAATCCATGCACAGACTGCTGACAGCTACAGCACTCTAGACAACGTGGTAGAACCTAGAAAGCGAATGTCTGCTTGCTGATTCAATATTTTCTTCCTGCTTCTCTCTGCAGTAGTCCTCCTGGTGGCACGTGAGGCGTCAAGTTCCTGCCAGTGATCTGCAAGGCGAGGGAGGTGCTGAAGACCCTGGGCAGCTGCTGAGCGCCCGGCACCAGGGCAGCCTCCCCCACAGGACGACCATCTGCACGTTGAGGAAGCTGCAGGAACCATGAGCTGGCGGCAGGAGCAGCCCGAGGAGTGCCCCATCTGCCTGGGCCCGCTGTCCAGCGCAGCTCGTGTGGACCCCTGCAGGCACTCCTTTTGCCTGGAGTGCATCCACCTCTGGGCAGAGGGAAGGGACACCTGCCCGATGTGCCGCGGGCCCATCGTAGCAGTGGTGCGCCTGGCCCGAAGACCCCGTGGAAGGTTCCAGCGGAATGAGCGGCTGGGGCGGCGGCAGCAGCAGCAGCAGCAGAGGGGGCAGCGGGGGAGGAGCCCCTCCAACTACCGCTCCCGCAGCGTCTCGCCCCGGCGCAGGGCGCGCAGCCCCTCCACGGGGCGCAGACTGGAGAGAAGCTTCTCCTGGCACGCGGGGCAGGTCGGGCGCAGACTGCCAAGCTCCCCGCAGGACGCCGAAGTCGGGGACACATCCTGGCTGCACAGGGTGCGGCAGGAGGAGCCGGGAAGCGGGGACCACGCGGGCCGGCAGGACGGGCCCCCCGCCTGAGCAGGCGGCCGGGCCTCGCCTGGGGACGGGCTGGGGGTGGCAGCCACGATTCCCCCAGGAAGAATAAATTACCACTCTTCCACCCTGCACAGCCTCTGCCTGCACTTCTTCCCGCATCGCTCGGCAGCGGGGGCTGAATGTAGCCCTCTCCTGCTGTCCCCGCCATGAATTGGTTTGGGGGTGTCTGCTCCTGATGGGGAGCAGCTGTGGGTGGCAGGTCCCCGAGGGAGACATGGGGGTGAGAAGTCATTTGGGGGGTGAGGAGTTGTCGTGGGAATGGGAAAGTGTTGGGGATGGGAGCAGCCACAAAGGTGACGTAGCCCGACTGGAATAAAGGCTGACAGCAAAAGTCTCCTAAAAGCCTGGCAGCACAGAATGCCTGCCAGCTGCGGAACCGGGCCTGGCAACCTGCAGCATCCCTGGAAGGTGCTGCTGGCCTCCTGCAAGTGCAGCCTAAGGGTACCTGAGGACCAGAGACTGTCTCCATGTGCCACCACCAAGGGCAAAGGCAGGGAACTACAAGAGCAATGGGCTGTCTGGGAAGGAGGAACGGCTCAGGGAAGGGTGCCATTCTCAGAGCCTAGGAAGCATCGGTGTCTATCGACTGTATCAGGTGAAACACAGAAGTTAGCAGCGGCTTTTGGCTGCTCTAAGGAGTGTCCTGTGTCCTCTTCTGTCTCTTTCCATAGAAATAGGACTCCTTTTCAACCCAAAATGGAGCGCCTCTCTCCCTCAGAGCTTCCTGTGCTGCACAAATCGTTCTTGCCTACATGACATCTGAAACCCATTGAACCTTTGCTGGGGGTGCCCGGCTGACTCTGAACTCCCTGATGGGAGCCTCACGTCTTTGCAGTGACACTTTGTTCTTGATTTCTTGGGCCCACTCCTGGGTTTGGTCTCTTCTGAGATGGCTTTTCTTAATTAGCCCGACACCTCTCTTCACACTTGCCTTGAATCACAGAATATTGCCTAGTGGGGGGTTGTGGCCATGTGTAATAACAAGAACTTTTCAGCAAAGAAAGCCTCCGTGCCCTTGGGTATCGCAGCATCCTACCAACTCCCACTTGCCAACTGTCCACATTCACAGGCCAGGGGCATCCCTGCAGGGCTCAGCGCGTCGGAAGGTCACGGCATGAACTTCACTGTTGTCAGAAGCGCCATTCCATAAAATGTGCACTCCAGGATGCTTTTGGTAGCATCCTGGTAGAAGATGGTAGAAGATGGTAGAAGAACACTGGGAGGTGCACGAGGCTGTCCTGCTTTCAGCTGGGACAGAGTTCATTGCCTTCCCAGCAGCTGCTACGGAGCTGGCTTCTTGATTTCGGACAAGAGTGATGCTGATAGCACACCGACTCTTTTAGTTGTCACAGAGCGCTGCTTACACAGAGCCAAGGCCGTTCCAGCTGCCCACACCGCCCTGCCAGCCAGGAGGCTGCGGGTGCACCAGGAGCTGGGAGGGGACGCAGCCAGGACAGCTGGCCCAAACTGGCCAGAGCCATGTCCCATACCCTATGGGGTCGTGCTGAAGACTGGGACTGGGACTGGGACTGGTCACCACTTCAAGTAACCAGTGAGGCGCAGCTCATTTCTATCATCCTGAGACAGCCAAGAGGTGGCGATGTTCCTGATTTTCTCTAAATGACATCACATTTTTATGCATGTTCCCACTGTCCCTGGCCAATTTCTGCCTTCCCAAGTGACAAGTTGTTCTTCATTTTCTTGTTGTGTCCTTGTCAGTGGTGGAACACAAAAAACAATGTAACTTTGCTCACAGAAGGGGGTTACCTATAAATGCCCTGTGCGGGGCACATGTGGCCAGTCCGGCTGGTGGTAGGCGAGAGCTCGAGTCTCCACGGTTGGAAGGAGAGCGACAGGCGGAGCTGGTGCTAGAGGCACATGCGAAGCCAATCTTGTTGTACACAAGCCATCATCAAGGGCCTTCTGTAATGTTCTCCAATCTACAGACATCCATGTACCTCATCTGGCCTCAGCGTGGCCCTGCCAAGTAGAAGCTATCACAAGCAGATTTGCCATTCTAACAGCCATGTTTGCAATCCATACACCGAAAGTTACTGCTACAGTGCCCCCAAACAACTGGTTGAACACAAAGAGCTAATGTCTACTTGCTGCTAGAAGATTTTCTTTCTGATTCTTTTTGCAGTCATCCTGCTGGTGTCCCGCGAGGCGTCAAGATCCAGCCAGCGACATGTGAGTCGTCGAGGTGCTGCCGGCAACCCGCGAGGCGAGGAAGGTGCTGAAGACCCTGGGCTGCTGCTGAGCACCTGGCACCAGGGCAGCCTTCCCCACAGGACGACCGGTTCCACATCGCGGCAGCTGCAGGAACCATGAGCTGGCGGCAGGAGCAGCCCGAGGAGGCCCCCGGGGACGAGGAGTGCCCCATCTGCCTGGGCCCGCTGTCCAGCGCAGCTCGCGTGGACCCCTGCAGGCACTCCTTTTGCCTGGAGTGCATCCACCTCTGGGCGGAGGCAAGAAACACCTGCCCGATGTGCCGCAGACACATCATTGCCATTGTGAACCTGACCCGAAGACCCCGCGGAAGGTTCCAGCGCAACGCGCGGCTGGGGCGGCGGCAGCCGGTAAACAGGGACCACGTGGGCCGGCAGGACGGGCCCCCCGCCTGAGCAGGCGGCCGGGCCTCACCTGGGGATGGGCTGGGGGTGGCAGCCACGATTCCCCCAGGAAGAATGAATTACCACTCTTCCACCCTGCAAAGCCTCTGCCTGCACTTCTTCCCTGCATCGGTTAACTGCGGGGGAGGGCGAGGGTGGGAGGGAGGGAGGGAGCTGAACACAGCCCTCTCCCACCACCTGTGCCACTAATTAGTTTGGGGATGTCTGCTCCTGATGAGGAATGGCTCAAATGCAAGCAGCCACAAAGGTGACCTAGCCCGACTGGAAAAAAGGCTGACAGCAAAAGTCTCCTAAAAGCCTGGCAGCACAGAATGCCTGCCAGATGCGGAACCAGGCCTGGCAACCTGCAGCATCCTTAAGGATGGGACTTAAGGAAGCTCCTTCAGGAAGGACCTCAAGAGGTCCCTTCCTTCCCATCCCTTCCGTGAGCCTCCTTCTGAGTCAAAAACAGGCCCTTCTTGTACTACGGACACAGAAGATGGCGTAGGACGCCACCACTTCACATAACCTATGAGGCGCTGCTCATTTCCATCGTCTTTCTGAAACAGCCATGAGGTGGGAAAGTTTCTTGATTGTCTCTAAACAACCCTAGATTTCTCAGTCACGTTCCCACTGTCTCTGGCCATTTTCCACCTTTCCGGGTGATAAGTAGTTCCTCAGTTTCTTGTTGTGTCCTCATCAACAGTGAAATGCAAAAAGTGATGTAACTTTCTAACTGCATCACCCATCTCTCTCTCTCTGTCTCTCTGTCTCTTTCTTTCTTATACTGTCCTTATCTCAGCCCATGAGTTCTTGCACTTTTTTCTTCAGTTTTCTCCCCCATCCCACTGTGAGGTTAAAGGAGTGAACAAGTGGCTGCATGGTGGTTCACTGTCTTTCAGGTTAATCCATAATACCTCTTCTGAAATCAGAAGTTAGATTATCTATTATTAGTATTGTGTGAACATCTTTTCACCACAGTTTACTAAAAAGAGAACAAAAATAAAAGATTAAAATCTTTTATGGGAAATGGTATCAGTTAAATATATCTACTCAGCATTCCTAATATACAGTCATGCCCTTTCATTAAAGGTAAATAGCTGTTCAGAATTCAGTTCTGTCTTTTTTTTTTTTCCCTTTTCTCTGGATTTTAATAATAATTATCATTTGATTAATGGATGACTAGTTACATGCTTTCCAGCATCCCCAATGTAAAAAACAACAACAACAACAACAACAAAAACAACAAAAACCTGTGCAGAACACCTCAGTCATGCATATACTTTTCACATATTATAATATATGCATACACATTAATATATATATGCATGTATACATAAATATATGTTAAGATATATAAGACTTAGTTTTCTTAACTCTCCTGTCAGTGGGAACTTCACCAGACTGCCACGACTTCTCAAATATGATAGATAGTGGCTTAGCAACTTTATCTGCCAGTTCCATCAGGACCTGTGGACATATCTCATCAGGTCCCATGGACTTGTGCACCTTCAGATTCCTTAGATGGTCTTAAACCTGATCTTCTCTAACAGTATTATTCCTACTGGTATTAATTGTGTTTACTGTCAAGACTTAGGCATGAGGACTATGCTGGGTGATCCTTTTCTTGAAATTCACATATTTAAAATCTAACTAAAAGCCAAGTCAACTGGATTTGATAAATGGAAAAAATTTAGTTCTGTGAGTGGGAGGAACAAGATATAATCAACATATTTGTGTTAATGCCTGAAAATCAATTTTGAGTTCCACTTTCCAAGACAGTTGAATGAAAAAAGTGTAAAAGAAATGTAACTGATCAATGAACCTTAGACTTACAAGTAGCAGTGAAATAAATACAATATGTTGACCATGTCCTCCTGAATATGCCTAATAGAGACTTGTGCTCTCTTGTGACTGATAGGGCTTCAGAAATATTGGGTTAGGTGTTTTGTTTGTTTGTTTGTTTGAACAGCTACCTGCTTGCTGTGATCTTCAGAAGAGCAATCCCAAGCTTCTTTACCTCTCTGGATGGCTTGCTAACTCCAGTCCTGGAAGATGGATCCAGTCCCAGCAGGGGCACAAAGCAGCATTGGTGTGGTGCTTCTTGTTTCTCTTCCTCTCTGTTACTGGAAGAAGCATCTTGAATGCAGTCCCACAGCTCTCTGAAATTCCTCATGCAAAAACTATGGGGAAGTTCATCTTGGTTGTGCAGAAATACTGTACATGTGATCCTTTATGGTTAACCAAGGAAGGGGACGTGGGCACTCCCAAATATAGAATTACAAAGAAACAGGACAGGACGGGACGGGACAGAATGGGACAGGATAGGATAGTTGGACGGGACTTAGAAAGATCATTGAGTCCAACTGCCTGACCAAGAGACACAGCTGTTGTTCCATGACAACTTTTTTTCCCTTTGTGTGGGCTGTTTTTCATTTGTTGTCTGCTGCCAACTCAGAGCAGGTTTCTGTGGGTTTGTTATTGAACAAGGTTGTTGTGGTGTGCCATGTGCATGCTTCTGTGTCTTTCCTCTGAAGTTCACATAACTTTTATTAAAACCTTGTTCATCAGAATTAACTAGGGTTTTATAAACAGCCTACTTTTATAAGAAAACTAACTTTATACTTATTTTCATAGTCTCTAAAAACATTGCTCAGTAATACAGAATTTCTCCTTCACCAGTCTTTTGAAAGAGCAATAGAATTAATGCTCTTTCTGTGTCCATTGAGAGAGGCAGACACTCCTAATTAATTACACTTTTTAGCCACTTGTGCACAATTATTTTGAAGTTTTTCAGTAACATTATTTATTGAATACTTTGATTATTAGCTTAGCTCACAGAAGAGAAAATTTAAAGTTCTTTCTAAAAGTCTTGCAGTTGCTACGCTTCTGCTATGTGTGGGAGAATTTCAATTCAGTTATTTAATAAGTAAACTAATTGCTCTAGATGAAATAAATGGAACATTTATGACTTGTCAGATAGAATGAAAGCAAAGGAAATCAAGCCCTTTTTATAGTCATGATTTCAGCTATTACTACAGGTTTCATTGATACTAAGAACACTCTTAGAGTAAGCTTGGCCTAAGCAACTTTATCAGTTATGCTGTGAATCAAGAGCAGATCTACAGAGAAAGCTGGAGAAACACTGGAATTTTGCTGCTTGAGTGGAATAGCTGTAAAAGACAAATAACAAGTTACATAAAACACAATACCCCGTTTCAGCTATCTGAATTGACAAAGATCTTCTACAGAGCCACTTGCTAAAACTTTTTGTACTTGGCACTCAAAGATGCCCATTTTCTGCTGGTGCTGGGCAGTGACTACTGCCATGAATTTTAAAGAGATTGGTCAATATCAGTTTTTTCAATGATCTGCTTTAGGAGACAGGGACTGAGAACTAGCTCTCTGAGAGCAAGAGACCATGCTGCAGTGCAGCCCCCTGAAGGAAAGGGCAGAAGATCCAGGCAAGGCTTCTCCAAGACATTTCTTACTTGGCTCTTCCTTGCAGCTGAGCTGTTTTCCCAGAAGCCTGAGTGGCTGAGATGTGGACACCAGCTCCAACTCCAAGCAAGGACAGCTGTTGGCATGGGAGAAACTGCAGAATTGCTGGAATGTAGCATTTCCATCAAATGGGACATTTACTGGCATGGACAGATCATAGCATAAAAATGTGGAGGGAATATATAAAACATAGCATAACATTTCTTAAGAACGACTGGGAAGTATTTCTGCCAACTGGCAACTAAACTTGACTTTAATTCTCTTTCACATTGTGTTCTGAGACTAATGATGAAGAGACATCAACAATTAAGGTCATTTGTATGTGGTGTTAGCATTACTGGTTCCATAGCATACAAAAACTGTTTGCAAACATGATATAACTCTTGCAGTTGTATTTTTTGGAGTGACATACAGTAAAAGGGACATCATTAGCAACTACCATTGAATTTAGCTCAGTTAAACTGTTTGCAAAATGAAATTTCACTCTGCAAGTCGCAAGACTGAAAACTGTCTTCTCTGCTGTCTGTGACATTTCACCTTCTCCAGCCCAACCCTTGGCATTGGCATGGCCCTTCCTAATTCAGTATCTTGCTCTTGAAGCCTGTGGCACATTTATGTCACCTTTGGCTCTCCAAGAACTGAGAAGGAAGGTGAAGAGCAGATCAGAGGGTGTCATTTCACAAATTCAGTGCTAATTCATGCTGGTTGAGGCACTGAAGCATTCTTGATCTCCCAGTCACGAACATTCATGAGGTAATCTCTGCATGAAAGAGCTGCACAACATCTTTTGGATCCCAGTCATGCTGTAAAAGGTTGCATACCTTTTTAAACTTTTTTTAATGCTTAGAGATCAAGAGACAGAAACTGATTATCTAACCTTCTCTAGAGTGCTCATGTATCTAGAAATTGCAGACTTTCATTGGAGCTATGTTGTATTCAGCAAGCAATGAACTTCTACAAAAATATCAAAGATGAAATACAAAAATATTGTTTTCTGAACTCCTATGGTTATTCAAATTAGGAGTTCAGATATGTAAAAATCTCTTTTAGTGATGTTTTCAGCTTGTGCTTTTTTGCACTCAGTTCCTAAAGGATAAAGTGAAAGCCAAATGATAATGTGGACAAAAACTTTAAAGTCCTGTAATTCTAAGCTTGCAATATTATTCACTATTCATTATTCATTATTGTTTCTTGTGCAAGGGAGTAAGAGAGGCCAACAGTAAGGGATGAAGGAAGAACACAGGGTTTAATTCTTTTTTTCTTCTTTTTCTTTTCCTTTTCCTTTTCCTTTTCCTTTTCCTTTTCCTTTTCCTTTTCCTTTTCCTTTTCCTTTTCCTTTTCCTTTTCATTTCTGTTTCCATTTCCTTTTCCCTATTTTCCTTTTCCTTTTCCCTTTTTTCCTTTTCCTTTTCCTTTTCCTTTTCCTTTTCCTTTTCCTTTTCCTTTCTTTTCCTTTTCCTTTTCCTTTTCCTTTTTTCCTTTTCCTTTTCCCTTTCCCTTTTTCCCTTTTCCCTTTTTTCCTTTTCCTTTTCCTTTTCCTTTTCCTTTTCCTTTTCCTTTTCCTTTTCCTTTTCCTTTTCCTTTTCCTTTTCCTTTTCCTGCTTCATAGTATATATAGTATTTATATAATAGGCAAATCTAAACTTAATTAGTACTGGAGAAAATTTTAAATGGTGGTGGATTTTGAACTTAAATAATTAACTTACTTCTCAGGATGAGCTGGAAAGTGTTTTTTGACGGTTGACCACTGTGTCAACTGTTTTCTTTCTGCCTTCTATGCCCAAGTGAGAGATGTCAGCTCTGGAAGGTACCAGCCTGCCACCACAGGAGTGGCTTTTCCTCCAGATGTGTATAGAAGCTTGTCTTCCATCACAAATTTCCTACAGAAGCCCCAGGCACAGCAGCTAACAATATACTTAGTGCTCTATGATTCTTGTTGTAAAGAAACACATTTTCCTAATCTACATTACCACCTAAACTTCATGAATGATGAAAATGTTTAACATGGGGCAGTCATGTTGTTCAGCTTGATGATTTGAGCATACAGGCAAGACAAAGCTGGAAGTTTGTTGGACAAGGCAGGTCTCTCACTTTAGTTTTAAACTATGGTGAGAGGTTTGAGGGATCCCATCTAATACATATAGACAAAGTTGTAAAGACAGACAGCACTACTTTGTCAGCCTCTTTTCCTGAGTATCTTCCTCTCTGAGAGCAGTACTTCCCTGTATCCTTCAAGTTTCTTTTCAGTTGCCATAGACGTCAATTAAATCAATAGCTTTTGTGAACATACCAATTTTTTAGTTTATTTACCTGGAGGGGAAAAACTTTTCATATTACTTTCAGTAAAGTCAGCATCTTTGTCCCAAGAAGGCAGTTATGGTTCTTATTTAAATAAAATAATGGGTAATACTGTTTTCTGTTATTGTGGTGGACCAAGCCTACAACTGAAAATCAGTCTCTTTTGTCTGAAGCCATATATATATCCATCAGTTCTTATATAAAATATCTGGACACATAAAGCATGTATTATCTGTCACTTTTTGACATGATGTTTGTGTTTCTGAGTATTACAGAATCAGAAAATCAGAGAATGGGTTGGGTTGGAAGGGACCTTAAGGCTCACTTCGTTTCAACCCCCTACCATGGGCAGGGACACCTCCCACCAGATCAGGTAGCCCAAAGCCCCATCCAGCCTGGCCTTGAACACCTCCAGGGATAGGGTATCCACAATCTCTCTGGGCAGCCTGCTCCAGTTCCTCACCACCTTCTGAGTGAAGAATTTCTTTCTAATCTCTAATCTAAACCTACCTTCTTTTAGTTTAAAGCCATTACCCCTTGCCCTATCACTCTATGTCTCTGTAAAAACTCTCACCTTACACCCCCTCATTACGGAGAAAAAGGCCAAAGGTTTCCTAAACCACATTGCATTGTGACAGTACGACTTGTGAGTTCCTGAGAACATCCAGACCTCCACCCAGTCCTGATTCTTTAACTATCTGTATTTTCCACTGGTATGTGGAGGACTTAACTTTATAGACAGGGCCAGCAGTGAATCATCACTCGCAGAGACATTTTAAGAGCCATTTCCCGTAGATGGCTGGAAGCACAACACAGCCCATGTGGAAATAGCCTTTATTTGGCATAGGCTTAGCCTGGCAACTCTTCAAATTCAGTGTAGTACAAATAGAAAACTTCTCTCTTAAGTGGGATATTTCCTTCTCCTATTATACTGGCTATCAAAAGAAGTTCCAACATTCAGGACTGCACTGGTTCCTTTGGTTGTTAGTTTATTAACATAAACACTCATCGTTTGAATGTTGGACAATGAATATCAGCTAAAAATGCTCACACAAACCAAGCCTCAGAGTGCATATCACTCATGCAGATGGAGCTGATACCCCCAGGACACTGATCCTGAGGATCCACTTGCTACTAGACATTTGCACTGGCCATATGGGACTGTCAAAGGGCGAGCGAGTCCTGCTGATCACTCCTTGGCTCTCCAGTTAGTGAATCTGCTTGTGGAGGGGAACTGGGGAATCTCACTTGGTATGATATTGCCACCGATGCACCGTCATGGTAGCAATTGGTACCTGCTGTTCTTTGACCCCCAGCAACCCCACAAGAGAAGGGGAGACTTCACTGAGAGACTGGGCAAGGCAGACAACTGTTTAATGCCCTCCATCTCCAAGGCAGCTATGCCAAAAGCCCACTGGTTCCTTTTTGGGGTCTTTGAAATATCGTCTCCTGAGGCAATCTGTGCCAAGGATGCACGGAACCTCCAGGCCAGTCACTGTGAGGTGCTTTTGACACTCCTTCCCAGCTGGGCTCACTTCGGCCTCCAATACCATTAGCTGTTGGGATCCCCGTGTCACTCCATAAATACTGGAGGTGGGTTCTGCCCCTTGGTAGCCTCAGGGCACACTATACACCAGTGCCCACTAGAGCCTTATACTCCTGTGGGTCTGATGTGCCAGGCCATCAAATCCACGCAGTCAGATAAACCTGGTCGTCCCCTCCCTCCACCTGGCTGGCGGTGTGTACCGAATGGCTGGAGGTGTGTACCTGTCTGGTGGACACCTGGAAACTGGGTCACTTGGTGGCAGAGAGGCTTAGAAGAGACTCAGGTCTCTTCTGATCAGGAAAGGCTCTGCCTGGACTTGCATCTTTTTGCTTTTTCTATAAACTCGGGTTCCCCATTCAGACATATTCAGGATAAGGGGCTGACATGGCCCTTGAATGGGGGAACACCCTGACCACCACAACTTTACAATTAATTACTGCTCCTCTTTCCTTCTTCTCCTCTGTTTTGGAATTTATCGATCATCTGCAGACACCTACAGTTGTTCTAACCCTCAGCAGCATTTCTCCAATGCATGATTCTTTCTGGCTTCCCACAAACGGCAGTTTCTCAAGAACAGCGCTGGCATGGGCTCCTCTCCATAGGCCGCACTTCCAAGAATCAGATCCTGTGGGTCCACTTCACAGGCTGCAGCTTCCTTCTGGTCACATCTTCTTGCTCTGCTGTTGGCACCTCTACAGACTGACAGGAACCTCATGCAGTCCAACAAGGGGAAGCACAATGTCCTGCCCCTGGGAAGGATCAGCCAGAGGCTGCAGGGCAAGCTGGGAGTGTCCAGCTGGAAAACAGCTCTGCACAAAAGGCCCTGGGCCAACAATGCTCTCCAAAGTGCCCTAGGAGGTGACTTTGGCAAGGAAGGTGAGGAATGGTAAGAAGGGCTTCTACAGATAAATTGGTGAGAAAAGTGAGATTAAAGGCAGTGCACACACCCAGCCCACCACTAAATAAGACAGGAGAACTAGTGACAACAGACATGGAGAAGTCAGAGGTACTCAACAACATTTTGGCCTCAGTTTTAACTGGCAATCACTCTTCCCCAGTCTGCATTAGGAAAGACGTTACCAGCATCTTGAGGTGATCCTTCTCCTTTCCTGAGACTAGGATAGACAATACCTGAAGGACCATGTCCAGTCCTGAGCTCCCCCATCCAAAGCCATACTGAAGAGGGTCTAGTGAACAGCTGATGAGCTGGTGGAAGGCCTGGAGAATTTCGCCAAAAAGGAAGGACTAAGAGAGCTCCGACTCTTTATCAGGGAAGACATAAGGCTGGAGGGATCTTAGCAACATCTTGACATCCCCAAAGGGAGGATGCAAAGAAGACGGAGCCAGGCTCTTGTCAGCGGTGCCCAGCGGCCGGACAGCTCTAGGTGGCCCTGCTTCAGCAGGGGCTTGGAGCAGATGACCTCCAGAGGTCCCTTCCATCCCCAGCCCTTCTGGGAGCTTCCTTCTGGGTAAAAAACAGGGCCCTTTTATACCACTGACACAGAAGATGACGTAGGACACCACCACATAACCAATGAGGCACTGCTCATTTCTATCATCCTCCTGAGACAGCCAAGAGTTGGCAATGCTCCTGATTTTCTCTAAACAACACTAGGTTTCTCATGCATATTCCCTCTGTCCCTGGCCAATATCCACTTTCCCAGCTGATAAGTTGTTCCTCAGTTTCTCGTTGTGTCCCCATCAACGGTGAAACACAAAACGCAATGCAACTTTCCAAGACTCCTTTGGGAGAATTAAAAAGCAGGTATTCTTTATGAACAACACTGGGTATGTGGGGGATAATTCCACCCAACACGGACAGCTAAGCAAGACAAGGAGTACTTATTTATGGTACGGGGATATCCATATTTATGCAGTTCACAAGAAAAGGCAGGATTTATGCTAATGGTTTCTCAGAACTAATTATCATATTGTCCCTCCTGCTGTTGCAGGTCAGGTAACCTCTGGTGGTTGCACTTCGGGGCTTTCTGATGCAGGTTCATCGTCTTCTTCATCTTGTACTTCTTTCTGTTTTGCGCATGCTCAGTCATGGTTTAACTGCTTCAACACTTTCGATCTTATACAAATTCAGCTAACTTAATTAAGTTCTACTTTAGGC